ATACTTATTAAAAAGTATCAAAAAAATAACCAAAAAAATGGGTACCATCGAAATCTATCAAAAAAGTAATCAAATCCAGGGATACATCAAAGTATATCAAAAAAATAACCCCTGATCTATCAAAAATGAAACTTTTGCGACAAATAGAGTTTTCTAACACTAAAAAAAATTAAGTCCAAAAAAATATAATAAAAATTGATATTCAGGGAGCGTGATGCAATGTGACAATTATAAAGGATATGGGGTGAAATTTCTCACCTGGTGAGAAATAAATTTTCTCTATTATGAAATATTATATAAAAATTTATTTGCAAAAATTTTTACGGACTTTTGAGTTTAAACGTGAATATCTCGATGAATATCGAAGCTATAGGAACGAATCATATATTGACATGTAGCCAGGAACCAGAACTTTCGATCCATTCTATAAATACCTTAGTAGAAAACTGCTCTCTGTTATGTAAATCGCGAGTGAATTCAAAAATGATTTTTTTTTGTAAATGGTGTAATATTTCGCCTAAAAAAATTTACTGATGAATCTTTATTAAATAAAACAGGCAAAATAATAATCAAGATGAGATAACTATTCAAACTAAATATAAATATATATGTATTTACTGTAAAGGTATTGGACATAATACTTGTAGATGTGAGCTCAAAAGAAAAGTAAAAAAAAAATTAAACATTAAATAACACTTGTAATGTTTATATTAAAATTCTGAATTAATAAAGATTATCATGATCTTGACTTGATCAAATTTACAGTACATTGATTTTAATTATTTTGCCAATATCTAAATGATTTTCTACTTGTATAAAGTACATATCTTCTAAATTTACTTCATAATTGTCATATTTATCTAAAAAAATCATGGTAAGCTGTAAAGATGATTATTATTATGACAGAATAAACACAAAATGAAAAGATACCAACTCTAATCTACCATTTTATATTCTTGATAGCATAATTGAGGCAGGGTTAATTTCTCTAATTATCCTCTTAGTAATCTATATAAAGAACAAAAAATAGTGTGAACACATAATTATTTATCAAAGAACTAGACGAAATTATCGAGAAAATAAATAAGTTAGAAATACAAGAAATAGGAAAAGACAACAGTCAAAAAGTTTGGCTTTAATATGTGAAAAACAACTACCCAATGAAAAAATTTGTCTCGAAGTGAGAGCTTCTTGGAAAATTTTTATTTGGATTTCGTCAGGTCGGCTGTGGTTCAGTCTCCTATTTCAGGTAGCTCATGAGCATTCCATTCCTCTTCTTTATAACACTGACATATTGGATTCAACCTTATTACGATTGGCACAAACATCACAATTTATCAACCCAATTTCTCCCTCCTTTATTTTCACTCACAGGTTCTAATTCTTCAAGTTTATTAAAGTAAAAGATAAAAGTTATATCCGATTTAGATGACAAATCTATGCGAAAGTGTTAAAGATTATGAATGTATTAAATGTAGTTGTTATGTTAAACCCTTAGTAAAAATTTAATAAAGCTAAACAATAGCGAGAAACAGAGGACATAGGTAACTCACCACCAAAAACATCACGATTTACTGTGCTAAAAAAAAAAGAAACCATTGATATATGTATATTAACTCGATCAAATTTATTAATTCACCACCGGTGAGCTTTAGCAATAATAAAATCATGATATACTGAATTGTTACCGAAATATTATATTTCTGAAATGGACATTTCGGAACAATTCAACATATCAAAATTTTGTATTAAATTCAGTACTATTCAGAAATCCCAAATTTTGGTTGAAACTTAGGGTAATAACTGAATTTAGGCCGAAATATTATATAATATTTTTGGCCTAATTCAGATGAAATTCAGAAATTCAGAAATTCAGAATTTGTGCTGAAATTTGATATAATATTTTGATATTATACCATATGCAAGTGATATAATCGAAGTGAGACAAATCAGCCCATAATTTTTATAAAATGCGGGAAAATTTAACAATGAAGCTTTGTATAAATTTTTTGACATTTTATTATTATTATTATTTGTTGTGTTGTTCTTATTTGGAATTTTTACTTAATTATTTTAATTAAAAGACCAAGAAAATAAATATCTATTTAGTTAATCAAGGGGGATCTATTTTCAAGTATTACAACATTAATGAGCAACACAACGTATTAATTAACTCTCATTTGGATAATAGATGATTAATCACGATTAGGTATGAGTTCCAATAATGTACGCACATAATTTTTAATATAAATATATGCCTTGATTGATAGTTTCCCTCCCCTCAATCACTTCTATGATGTTGAATAGAACCTTTTTTTTCAAAACGGCTACATTAGTTGCGTTGGTGCTTTTATTCTTATTTTCAGTAACTGCCAATAAAACAAAAACTATCATCAAGACACGCAATCACACTAAAACTATTTATCCAACTAATTGCCCAGCACGCGAAACTACCATTACCGTCACGTCTATAACTACAACCACGTCTACCTTTCACAAAGGCATCACGACTACAACTGAAACCGTACCAGTAAAAAAGAGGACTAATAAATTTATCTGCAATATAGATAAAAATGGATGTTATTTCAAGAACAAACACACCAAGGTCGTCTTCTGTAACCCAACTGTTTTCTTGCCATGTCCGAAAGTTTCTACAAAAACATCAACAATTATTTCGACCACCACTTATGTCACATGTTGCATTTAGGTTGATAAGGAGGTGGAAATTTATAATAGAGATCGAAGTAGTGTATTCCTGATGTCTTTTTAATAATTGCTGTATTGAGGATGTTTAAAAGGATAGACAAAAAGATACAATGTCACCATGTATTTTAAAATTCTATTATAATAGTTTATATATTTTAGAGAGTACGAGAGCACTTCTGGATTATTATTACTACATTATTATCATCATTATCATTATCATTATTATCATTATCATCATTATCATTATCATCATTATCATTATCATCATTATCATTATCATCATTATTATTATTCAATTCAGCAGAATAAATTCCTCTTTTACAAATAAGTCCAATATACTCAAAAGTGTTGTTATTTATCCATTTTATTTGATTCCACTACTATTATTGTCTGCAGAAATATTTATTTATTACCTACAGTTAAATTTTCATGGAATTAGATGAATCATATTATGAAAACGAAATAAAGTAGTAAGAATTATTCGTTCGAAAAAATTTTTTATGTATTTTTTTTTTATTATCTCAAAATAAAATAATACACTGCAAATAATCAAGCTATTGTCAATACTAAAAATTTAATACCTTGAAAAGAGAAAGTGCAATTGAATTTTAAATTTGAGACAAGAATTTGAAAATTAGGCATAAGAAAAAGTTCTAAAGAGTTTTTAAACAGCTCAACCATAAAAGTCTTCTAGTCATATCTTATGCTTAGTTAAATCAAATATAGAATAAAGGAATAAACATGAATATATTATAAAAAGAAAAAGTAAAAACATTGCATTAATTGTATTGTTAAACAATCAAGTGCTGAAAATTTTGTTTTTCAAAAGAATACAAATTGTATGATGCAAAAATGTCATGAGTTATTAAAAAAAAGAAATCGGAACTTCCTCTTCTGTGAAAATCATAATTTATTTATTATTTTTTATTAATAAACGTAATAGAACAAGTCACGCCTCCAAAAATCATCTTATAATTATAATAATATGACAGAGTCATTTCGTTTTCCACGATTCCAATTCTCTTGGAGTATCAGCTTTAATTATATGACTGTCAACTTTATAATAATTTATATTAACTTTCTCTATACTATGTTGATTCAATTCATCAACAATTGAAAATAAGATTTAGGTTCATTAAATCTTTACATATTTGTGTGGAGTAGTTACAATAATAATCAAAATAATTCGTTCTAACTAATTAACCAAGTGTGGTAAGCATTGAATGTTTATAACGTATCAACTCGGAGAGCGTGAATACAACTGTTATAATAAGAACTGAATTGGTGTGGTATTCTATTATGTTATAATATAACAACTATGTTACTTTCTGTTATAGTTGCGAAATTTTTTAATGTTCCATTATAACCCCCGAAAATAGTCGAGTGTTTTTAATATTTGTTCAAAAACTTACTTCCATAATGATCATTTGAAAGTTTCAAAAGTTAGATATATCATTTTTAGTTAATCCATTACGTGAATTGAAATAAAATTTAAATTAATGCCATTCGAAATATTGGTGAAATCGAAATTATCAAATTAAAATTAATTTAAACAGGTACTTATTGATAATTTAATTCACATCTGGATTAACTAAAAAGTGATTAAAATGACCTTGCAAAATGTTCATGTCAAAAAAGTTATTCTCTTGATTGATTTCATCAAAATTAATTTTCAATTTATCAATCTATGATGGTTAATAATGAGTATAATGCTAATAATAATATTAAGATCTACTCTCCTATTAAAAACAACGATATTGAAAATCTAAATAAACGCGAAAATCACGATATTAACAATATAAACAAAATAAACAAATTAAAATAAACGAAATAAACAAAATAAAAAAAAATAAACAAAAAAAAGTTTTTATAAAAGGGTACCCATACCTTTTTATTTTTTTATACTTTTCTTACCATTTCAAGATCTCTTACTTTAGAAATGTCTTACTTTAGAAATGGCATCAATTACTAGATCAACAGCACAAAGATTAGTCAGCCCATTCTCACCAGCTGTCATCTGCCCCCCTTCCTGATAGAAGAAGAAGAAGACCTATATAACCACCACAACAACAATAACTAAATATCAGGATAATGTAGACAGGATTAATTCCTAGGCAATCTGGAAATTCTACATGAAGAATTATCATATATATCAATTAATGGTCTGCTTGTCTTACTTAGAGAAAGTGCTTTTCAACTCTAAATTTGACAGGTGGTATTTGGTAAGAGTCCTCTAGTCTTGGATAGTGGTTAGAGACTCTCAATTATTTTTGTTTTGGTGGTTTGCATATAAGATTTGTGTAAAAAATTTCATAATATATCCTTTATTTATTTATTTTATAATTTAAATTTTGAAATGTTTATATTTTTTTATTCTTTTTTCTTTAATTTTTTATTGGGGATTGCCTATGGAGTGTTGATATAAATTAATAATTATAATAAATATAAAATTAAAAAAAAATAAAAAATATAATATTATGACACTTATGTAATATTATGGTAATTATACAGAGCTAGCTATTTTGACTTTAAACATTAATATATCAGCGGATATCTGTGCTATGCTAAAGAATAAAACATATGGGACCTCCCACAGCAAAAACGGGTTCTCGGGTAAAAAAAAATTTTTTTTGAGATTTTGTTATAATTATATGTATATTAACTCAAAAAATACTTTAAACTAATTTTCTCAAAAAAATTTTTTGGCTGAGAACCCGTTTTTGCTGTGGGGGTCATCTTGTAGTTCGGAATCAGGGCTTTCGTTCGGTCATAAGAATATCTTAATAAAAAATCCCTCCGTCCTACAAATCACGATCGAAGTCAAAAAAAACAGAATTTTTTTGGTGGTAAATTATAAATTATGGATTTTTTATTGCATAAATAATTTTCTTTTTTCTTTTTTTTTTAAGATAGTCTTTTTTTATTCTCTTCTGGTCACAGCCTTGTCATGTGACCTGGTACTTTTTTTATGAAAAATAGTAGTCCAAATTTAATTTTGAATTGTCATGCTTGTGTTAATTTGTATCGTTAAATAATTAAACAATAATATTTCACAATAAAAATAATATTTCTATAATTTTACAGGGAAATCAATTCATGAACTTTTTGAATTATTTGATAAAACAACACCTGATTTCGCCCAATTAAAATGTAATCTTGTCAAAATAATCATGCTTAAAATTTCAAGATTATTGGGGTGTAATTTAATTGAACCAATGAACCTAAACTTATAAATAATAACCATATTTAGCCTAATATCTATTTAATATGGCGTTTAACAATATAAATAATCTATTATATAATAAATTCTTTGAAAAAATAATCAAAACGTGAATGTGGGACAAAAAAAAAACCGGAATCAAAAAATCATGAAATTTTATTGTATTTTAAAGCTGAATATCAGCTAACTTTATTAATAAAAATTAATACGGTATACGTTCACCATTATTAATTCACAACGGCGCTTCATTGATTTTATGAGATTAATTAGAACGGCTTGTGGAATTTGTTCAAGATCGTTTATATTTTTTGACATTCTTTTTTTCTACATTACTTTTAGTAATTGCCCATAGGTTTTCGATCGGATTTAGATCTGGACTGTTCGATGGCCATTCTAGGACTTCCGGAAATTTTCTTAAATAAAGGCTTTAGCCAAACGACTCGTATGCTTGGGATCGTTGTCTTGCTGAAAACGCCATTTACAACCAAGCATCTGTTTGATTTCGGGAGCATGTGTGCGAAGTATTTCTACATAGAACTCAGCGTTCATTATTTGTTTAAAGCAAAATAAACTGGTTTTCCCTTTTGCACAAAAACCACCTCACGTCATTATTTTTGTTCGGTCTTTAGGCATTAAGTGTACTGGCCGTTCTCCTTTGTACCAACGTTCAACAGTATTTCTGAAAAACTGGAATGCTGTTTCATCAGTAAATAATGTCTTATTCCAATTTTCATTAATATGTTATTTGCCCACTCTACACGTTTTCGCTTGTGATCTTCGGTTAGCATAGACGTTACTTTTGGAAGTTTTTTTTGATACCCAAGACCTGCCAGGTGTCTTCCAATTGTTCTATACGAAACTTCAATACCCATATTAATCAATTTTTTTTCTAAGGTCCTCGTGGAAATAGATCTTATAAATTGACCAAGTGTCCGAGACGCATTTGCAGTAATTTTTCTTGGACGGCCGTTTCCCTCCAGCATGCTTCACGATACCATTTTTTTTTGATTTTTTTGATATTATCATAAATAGTGGATAGTGGAATGTTTGTTAGCTTATGAGGTTCTTTTGCATTACGAATACCGTTATTCCATAAATCTAATAAAGTTTCATTAGACGTTTTTTTATTTGAAAATGAATTTTTTGATGGAAAAAAAGGTAGCTGTAAACGTGATATTTATTTTGTGTTATTGTGATGTAAATCAAATTTATATTTAGTGATATGGAAGATCATCTTTGTCACGTTTCAATTTCGGATTTTTTTTTGTCCCACACTGTATATAAATTATTCAATTTATTCTCATTTCGGTGCTTTATTCACTCCCAAGAATTTTTTTCTTTCGTTTTTTTTTCTTGGGGGATATAAAGACCGATATAATTGATAATAATTATTCATGAATTTAATTTTAAAAACAAATCAATAATAATAATAATTAATTTAATAATCATGGTCGGTCGAATATCTAAATAATTAAAATAATTAAAATAATCGACATAATTAAAAATAATTAAAATAAATAATTAAAATAATTAAAATTATTAAAATAATTAAAATAATTCAAAATGGATGAAATACAATGGGTGAATAAAAATCAAATATTAAATATATTATTTTTTTCGAAATATTCAATTGAATGATTATTATTATTATTTTCTAGGTTCACAATTCGATCAATGAATATTCTAATGGTTATCATTTAAATGGTTACTCTAATGATCACGGACATAATAAATCGAGAGGAGGTGGAGAGAATAAAAAATATAAAAGACAACATTATCAACCGCAATATATTGAGTTTAATTTGAGCGGTATAAATATCAATGAATATAAAGAATCGGCAGAAATAGGAATAAATGATTATAAATTAAGATTTCGGTATAAATATCTTGAGGAAGGAATTTCTATTTTTCTAAATGAAAATAAAGGAAAAATTTATATTCCTTTAGAAGCTTTGGAAGATATTTCTAAAGTTCATTTAAATCTTATCATATTAACATTGAAAGAAAATGCAATTGGTTTGGTAATATTTTATTAATATTTGTAATAATCCTTTTTATTACTAATAAAAAATATTTTTAATATTTTAATAATATTTTTTAACAGATTTCATATAGTTCAAGAGAAATCTTTATTAACGACGATCCAATTCGTGAAAATTTGAGTTAAGTTTTGATCTCTCAATTACAAATATTATTATTATCATAAATTATTATTATTAATTATAATTTATTATATTTTCAATTAGATAAAGCAACAACCATTCACGTTTATGCTCAAGATTCAACACCACAACAAGCCATCGATATGACTGGATTACATATTAATTATATTGTGAATAAAAACAAGACAAAGATCCATAATGAAATTCAAGCGTATCATATGATTGTAATTAAATTATTTATAATTATTTGAACTGTTTATTTTATATTTTTATTTTTTAAGATTATTTAACATGATTTCATTACTTCATTATTCACTTCTCATAACTCTCTCTCGATGCTTTCTCTTAATAATCTTTAAAGGATGAAGAATTATTGATTAAATGTCATTTAGCTGATGAAATTCGTATCTTGTGTTTCAATTCTCAAGAACTTCTTGAAGATATCAAGTATACAATTATGAATGTTTTGGGAATTTCGGAAATAAGTAAAATTCGTTATAAAGATGATGATGGTGAATATATCTCTATAATTAATAGGGCTGATTTTGAAACTGCAATAAGATTATACAAGAGAAATAATAGATTAGAAATTTGGTGTATGTAGAAATTAAAAATTTTCTTTTCCATTTTCCACTTCAAATAATAATAATATTTGATATGATAGGTAGGTACAGGTACAGTATTAGGTATTTTTTTTTTGGTGTATAGAATACACACATTTATTTTGGGGTGTTTTGTTTCCCTTTAAAAGAATCGATTTAATTTGCAGTATAAATATAATAAAAATAAAAAGGAATTTTTTTCATTTATTAATTTTTATTTTTTTTTAAATCCTATATATTAAATTATTATTGCCACTGGCATTTTTATGAATTTACAATTTGAACGGTTATTTTGAATATTTAAATTTTCATTTGAAGTTCCAATTTCATTTCAATATAATTTTGTCCATACTTTATCCACTTCAACTGATTTCAAATACCACTGGAATGCTTTCTCATCATCTTTTATGGTCCCAAAATTCTATCTTTATAACAACATCCAAAATTGTATTGTCCAAAACGATCTTCTCTTCAGATGATTTTTACTTTTTCTTCATTGTATTGTCCCACATGATTTTCCCTTTCAGATGCCACTGGAAACGCTTTTTCTTCATCTTTATGGTTCCAATCCCATTTGAGTAACAACGTCCCAGTTTGTTTTGTCCTGTGTAATTTCCTCCCAAAATAATGTAATTAATGCTATAAACTAAACTAAAACTAACTGTTCGCTTTGTGAAAATCACATAGAACCAATTCATTTTGATACAGAGGTATCTAATAAGTTCAATTAAGGTGAATCCTTTATAGCGAGAGTGTTTAAAGTACATCAAGTTAGTTCGTGACTTGGCAAGACGTGAAGTTCGAGTATAGGACAAAAACTCGCGGAGCCACTTTCATGTTAAAATGTTATAGGCAAGCGTTAGATGATTTTTAACAAAGTAACGTAGTTATTTGAATTTATTTATTGATATTCCGGAAAACCAGAACTTAGAAATGCATCCAATTATGATCAAAAATTAAACAAAAAGAATCCAGCTGAAATTCTATATATGAAATGATTAGATATCCATCTCACCATTGGTTCATTAGCTTCAGGATTTTTTTACCAGTACAGCATTGGACTATTGTTGATAATCAAAATTCTTTAATTTAGCTGCCAATGAAATAATAATTTATACGAAGAACACCTCAAATCTTTCAATAAGAAAATTTTATAGCTTTGTGTTTAGATAATTTAAATAAAAATTGAATTTTTCAAAATACGAACAAACCATTTCTCATAATATCCTTCTTTTGAAAGATTAGGTTTAAAGAAATCTTCAATACTTATTAAATGTCAATCTTTATACTTGTCCAAATATTAAAGAACATAAATCATTGCAATTCGTGATGTGAGATTTGATTTTGTCAAATAGAATTCTTAACATGAATTTCTGGGGAAAATCATTTTGATTATATTTTAATTACGTATCAAGATAATTATTTAATTCAAATTTCATATAAAAACCGAATATTTGGTAAAATTTCTGAAAAATTAATAAGTCAATGAATATTTTACAAAAATTCTGAAAATTTAATTGTTAGAATTATTATTAACAATGAATTAACTTAATCTTAATCTAAAAAAAATTTTATATATTGGGCATTTATTAGATAGTTTAAATTTATACATTAATTTTTTAAATTATTTAGTTAGAAGGATGATTCAAAGTTAATTAGAAATGTATGTTCAGTAACAATAGAGATTAGAAAATTATTAGGTATGATAACCTAGAAAATATTAAAATGGATATATTAATAAAATAAAATATGAACTTTGATAAACACTTTGACAATGCGACGGCCTTGTTTAATTATTTAATAATATTAGCTAATTTCTATTAATAATTTGGGATGCTAATTAAAATCGACGTTAAAATGATGCTTAATTGTTTGATTTAAAATGAGAGTCCTTTTAATTATTAAAATTATGAAAAATTATATTAAAAAATAAAATAAATAAACTTGAAATATTAAAATTGATCATAATTTACTTTTCTAAAACATACGCTCTCTCTTAACCATTGAATTTCTAGGTAAAGTAGTTGAACGTTTTTGTTTTTTGTAACTATTGTATTCCATACACAATGCCCTAACATCATCCGGAAGGGTTCGATTACTGAATTCCGTTGGACGTTCAATTAATTGAGCTAACAAACCCATGCCTACATGCCATTGAATATGACAATGGAATGACCATACACCAGGATTATCTGCAAGAAATCTTATTACTATGTGACTTTCTGCAGGTACTATAGTAGTATCCCTAAAGACCGGATTTTCCAAATTGTATGTTGTTATATTAGATACGAACGCTCCCGGACCTTCAGCAACTATCCAAAAGGAGTGACCGTGTAAATGGAATGGATGATTTGTAGACTGAGAATTTAAAAGAGTAATTTGAACACACCCATAGGGAATGTCATAACTATATATGTTTTGATTTTTATCGAAATCAGTATAATTTTCTTTTAGCATTATTCTTTGATTTGTTGGATTATCATTAACGAGAACAAAAGGTGAATCGTTGACTCCTAAGAGACCAACATCATCATCATTACGGCTGAATGTGATGTTAAACACAAAATCATTAGTAATGTTGGTGGGAGCAGGACTATCTTTGTATGGTCGTATAGCACTAGCATTAAGATCTTGACAAAGTGGGAAGGTTATTGGATATGCAGTTGATGTGGATTCATTACTGCCAGCACCAAGATAGTGAAGAATACCGGTAGCATTGTGATTGATAGAAGAATTATAGTTGATAGTATCATTTGTCATATTATGTAAACAACTATCAATAATACTAGCACGGATGTAATAATTGGCAATTGGTTGATCTGCGGTAAGGATAACAGAGTAACGTTGGGCAACAGTAATTGGTATGACATTCAATATGGCAGCATCAGTATCTTTTACGGGAGTTCCTTCAACTTCAATAACCTTGAGTGGATGATTATCAATGGAAAAGGTAAAGAATGCGTAGGCACTAGTGTTGATAATACGGAATCTGTATTTCTTTCCTTTTTGAACATTGTAAGTGGGAATTGTGACATTGGAATTACAATGACTACCAGCTGCTGGTGATGAACAGTTATATTGACCTAGACCACTGATAAGAGTAGCATCAGGATAAGGCTATAAAAATGTACAAAATGTAAAAAATGTATAGAATGTAATTAGAAATCATAAAATTAAAAATTATATAAATCACATATAAATTACGTTAATTTAATAACTTACGTTAAAACCTTTATAACCAGGAGCAACTCTTTGAACAAGAAGTGGACCAGAAGGAGAATGATACCAATCACTTATCATGATCAAATAGTCTTCATGATAAGAATTCAAATAAGGGTCTTCCGAATCATGAATAATGAGTGGACCAACCAATCCATCAATATATTGAGATAAGAAATGAGAATGATACCAATAAGTACCCGATTGATCCAAAGTAAAATTATATGTGAAGGAAATTTTGTTTGGAATAGGGCATTGAGTTTGACCACTAACACCATCATACCAATTTGTTTCACGTTGGAAGATACCATGCCAATGGATAGTAGAGGGGTCTCCAAGATTATTGGTTACATTTATCACTAAGCGATCACCTTTATTAGCTTGAATGAGAGGACCTGGATATTGACCATTGACAGTCCACACAGGACGTTCGAAACCATCAGGAGAAAGTTTTACAATTTTCAATTCAAATTGATAATAACGAGTTACGGGTGAACTCTCATTTAACTTAGATAAAGGATCAAATATATATGGTTTTGGAGAAGATCTAGATTCCAATTCATGAGTTTTGTCCGATTTAATTGGGGTTGCAATGGTGCCCAAGAAACCACATAATAATACGACACCGAGAATTGAAAATATTTTAAATTTCATTTTCAAGAGAGGGATAAAAAAAAAGATTATAAATTTATTAAAGAAATTAAAAATTATATTATTTCGAGTAAAACGCGAGAGAATGAAAAGAAGAGGATTTAATTAAATAATGATAATTTTATTTTATAATTATAAATAAAGTAGTAATTTAAGTAGTGAAGAGAAAAGTTCAAAAGAAATAAATCTTTGATCAAGAGGTTCGAAATTGAGCTTTATATATAGAATCGTTTGATTTTTGAATATGAGAATAAACATTATTTATTTTTTTTCAAAGTTATTCGTAAAGTTTTCGAAAAAGAAGTAAAAGCTGGCACAGTTTTTTTTTTTAACTATTTCGGGTATATTAAATTAGACTTTCCTATAAATAAATTATATTTTATTTTATTATATTTATTTGGAAAATTTTCTTCCATTTATCCGTGTCAAATATATGTGTAACCTAAAGAAAAGTCAAAAATCAATTGTCCCAGGGGTTTGCGATGAATTCAAAATCGTCAGATTGTTTTCATCTCATTGAATTCGGTTTAATATGCGTAACATGAATATAATGAATTTAGAAATTTGGTTGATATTATTTTGATTGTTGATTACCATTATGGCTTTTTTTTTTGTTTTACATAACAATATTTATCCTTATAAGTTAAGTTCGTATGGTTATTTTTATATGTGTGCGTGAACATAGTAAACACGATTCTAAAGACTTTCTCTAATGGGTTAAATTACTATCACGCTGATATGCATTTATTTGGATTACGTTAATCTGGATTACTTTGATCTTTTAATCTTGCAAAATTGTTCTTACCATTTTTGTTTTATTCATTATTTTTAATCAATTTTTTTGGTTTATCATTATCCCAAATAAAGAACTCTATTAATAGATTTATTCATATAACTCATTTCAAATAATAAATATAAATAGATATTATATTAAAATATTATCTAATTTTTTTAAAATATAAAAATATAATAAAATGATTCTACTGGAAAAACAGAGATTAGATAATTTAATGTTAAAGTTGGAATTTTTCTCATACATGACATGAAAATGCTGATTATGAAATTGATTTCAGATAACGATTATCTTACATTACCCAGAGTAAAAGAAATAACGTAATATTTGTAAAAATATAAGATACGCAACCACTATCGGGGCATTAGATTGTACCACCAATACAAGCTAAAAAAATATAATGATAAAATCATTGTATTTAAAAAAATAGTGGGTTAAACCTGCGCCCCACTTCCCGATAACGAAAAAATGATGTTAATTAACTTTTACAATTACATTTCTGGAGCTAGATCTATTGGAAATGACAATCAAAAGCTTACATTACGCAAGCAAGTTGTTGAGATAGTGCATTTCTGAGGATTCCTCGGGTGACCTAAAGTCCAACCTGAAGACAAAAATCCAACATGTGATCCTTATCTAATGATCATTATCAAAAATCGGACAGAATTCCTTTCCAAAACGTTTTTGATATTTTGACTATTGTTACATCAATAATTTAACTATGATATCAAATACGCGTACATTAAATTTCCTCCGGACAATTAATTCTCACATGATTTTAAGGATACAATTAATTTCCAAATTTAGAAAATTAATGTTTTTGGGTGAAGATCATAGAAATATTGATGAATGTTCTTTTAAAAATTCATTTTTAAATATTTAAATATTTAAAATTTTTTTCACTCACTTTGTATTACTTTCACATTTTTTTTTCATCAGCTATAAAATAATCAGCAATATAAAATTTAAAATAATAATATAAAATTTTGAAATTAATAATAAATCTTATGATTGAAACTATACATGTTCCCAAAATTGATTTTGGATTTTTGAAGTATTTCGACTTTTTGAGATTTATGCAAAATCTATTCTA